TTCCCAGGTATTCTTGTTTTTCTTGTGGGGGTCAGAATTCAATCGTCTTCGAATTTTTTTTGATTGATTCATCACTCATTTATGCCACTTGGAGACATTCTGGCACATCACATTAAACTCTTGTAAATTTGTTTCTCAGAAAAAATTCTTATTTTGGGTCAAATTGCTTTCCTTGATAGACATGGGCAGTGTCCACATATGGTATTATGAAACCAAATTACAACATTACATGTAGATCATATTCATATTTGCTTTTATGATACCATAAACCTTTATCTAAAGCTCTCTGAAGCGCTCATCCTTATGTTTTGTAAGGTCAATTGCTTCATGCAAATACTTAACACAAAATTTGCGTTGAATTTGATATATATCACTGAGTCCTAAAGCCAATTACAGCTCTTAACCAATTTGAAGAAGGAAGGGAAAGCATAAATACACCATTAATGTTGTCTGAAGCTGGGCTTTCTCTGTAATTTTGTCCTTTTTTTGTTCTCGCACCTACTGGTTTGTGGTTTGGTCTCTTCAGTGGGACTTTCATCCATGTCTGCCGTAGACTCCCTTGTCTTCCTCCTCTTCTCTCTCTCCACCTCTTCCTCATCCTCAACAGTCCACTGTCGAGCCAGCCTCAAGATCAAACACATCACATGTTTAAAATGCATATAAACATATATGGCTTTCAGCATTCCAGTTTTCTGTGAACACTGATGCTGGTTGATAGATAGAAAGGTCGACTGTTTTATTCTATTGCATCCCCAAAATATAGTTTGGCCCATATTGCCTGAAAGATTAGAACTTTTGGCTACAACCACTTTTGATTTCTGTGAAAGCCTTGAACTCAAACTTTTTATCGGACTGATTTAAAACTCTATTCACATGGAGGCAAAAGGAAAGAAATGGCAGGGATGTTTTGAGCTATACTCGCTATGCTGAAACCTATCCTGTCAGTCTTTTTGAAAGTATAAGAAGATGCATTACGATCAAAGGTCTCGATGATATATCCCAGAGGTGGACTATTGTATTTCAGTTTGAAAACAGTGTTTCATTGTGTAATAACTGGTTTTTCAAGCTCTGTTTTGTTTAAAGGATACTCACTGCCTTGAGTCTGATAGCGTGACATTACTGTCATATGAGTGCATTACACTAGCTGTCAAAATAATCACAACCCGCACCACAAACTCAAACTGCATGTCCAGTCCAGACTCAGTTACTTTCAGTTTTTATTTCAGTCATAAACTTGTCATCCAAAAATGCACTTGATGACTATTGTAAATTACAACAATACATTGGAAGTGTTGCCCTGGGTGCTATATTTCTGAAACTCAAGTGCATTCTTGGCTGTTTTGCTTATTTAAAAGTCTTAAGGTTGGATTTTTTTCATTTACAACATTTAGAGCGAAGAAATAAAAAAGTCGAAACCCTAAAAAACGATTTCTTTCTAGTTATAGTTCTGATATTTTTAAGTTAACATGTCCATAGCATAAGCATCTCAGAATAAACACTGACACCTGCGCTTCTGCAACCTGACAGAACTCGCAAAACTATTAGCTAAACAAAATAAACGCTAAATGTACATGTCTACTTACGTTGATAAAGCAGACCAGTTTTTCCGGCTAATAGACATGATTTGTGTGTTGAACTCGGTTGGAGAGAGGTCTGTGGAGGTGTATGAAGTGTCGCGCTCTAAGTTCCCTGTGTCTGTGTGTGCCACCTTTACCCCGCAGCTTCGCGAGAGCCGCGCCACGTGACCACCACCATCACCTCCCGCCGCGCGAGCATGCATCATACCTGTTCACTATTAACACATCATCATGTTAAAGCCCTTCAGCAGCTCAACAGCGTGTGGGGACGAAGAAGGAACACATCTCAAAACTTACAGTATCAATGTACATAATTAAAAATGGGAGAGGATTGGGGATGTAGAATATGTAAACAAACTATATCTGTACACTCTAAAAAATGCTGGGTTCAATACAACCCAGTGCTGGGTCAAATAGGGACAAACCCAGCAATTGGGCTGTTTTGACCCAGCAGTTGGGTTACTACCTGGGTTTGTCCCTATTTTACCCAGCACTGGGTTGTATTTAACCCAGCATTTTTTAGAGTGTATAGTTACTTAAGAACGAAACCTCAAAACATACATTGTTTTAGTTATGTGGAATGTCAAAAAGCTGGAAGCTAAAATAAATGGCCAAAAATATATATCTTTAAAAAAATCAACTACTAACTACTAGATACCCCACACTCTAAAAAAATGCTGGGTTAAATACAACCCAGTGCTGGGTAAAATAGGGACAAACCCAGCAATTGGGCTGTTTTGACCCAGTGGTTTGATTAAATGTTTAACCCAAACTTGTGGGTAGTAACCCAACCGCTGGTTCAAAACAACCCAATTGCTGGGTTTGCCCCTATTTTACCCAGCACTGGGTTGTATTTAACCCAGCATTTTTTAGAGTGTAATATGTTGTATAATAAATTGATTTATAAAATGAATAAAAGCACTGGCAGTGACCCAATGCTTTCCTTCAGGTTTGCAGATAGATTAAAAAATAATCACGATGGTCAGCAAAAGGCTTTAGTTTTTTTTTTTTAATTAATAAGTAATAACTTTAATGTCCGACTGCAATGGAAACCAGTCTGTTTGATTGGTAGTGTTTATTACTCCTGAACAGCAGGGGGAAGAATAGACCTCTTCACTGGAAATCTAACATTAAAACCAGAGAAGAAAAATACCGATTCAAAACACACCAGTGTTTTCTTTCTTTTTTCTTTTTTATGGCGATGTTAGGGACCTTCATGTATGGAAATATTATAGATATAATTTGATCCGTTGCGCTGTTTCTGGTAGATTCGGGCTCTTTAGAGAGGTAAATGTTTGAAACATTGAACACATCTCTTATTAATGTAATAGATTAGACGGTTTTCAGTAACGTACGTACATTGTGTTTACGTTTAACGTTTAAACACACTGTACTAAAAGCGATCGGCTGTAATTGTCTCGGCATTTTGTTAGCATCTGATTCTAGATGTCGCGTCAGGCTTACAGCATGTGTCTCTGCCTTGAGTTCACATCCCATAGTCTCATGCGTTAAAAAACGCGTAGTGAAGATCCTGACAACACTCATTTTCATTTTGTTACAAAGGAATCGTGAAGAAACACTTCCGTACACGAGCAGCACTAGCCTGAGGTGACTAGAAACTGTAAAACTCTTGTTTGCAAATTTGAAGGACGAAAGCTCTCTTGAGATTAGGAAGTAAAACTTCACGTCTGATTTAGTGTATTTTGTAATCATTTTAATAATCTGAATCCTTATAAAGCCCATAACAGCTGTGGACCATGACATATTATTAAATAGGCTTAGATGGGTAGGACTATCAGAAAATGCTATTTTATGGTTCCTTGCTTATTTAAATGTGTAATGTGTAGAGATGGAAGGTGTTCAATCTGATCCCTTGGAGGTTGTTAAGGGAGTCTCACAAAGATCTGTGTTGGGGCCGTTATTATTTAGCATATATATATATGTTCCATTTTTATGCAGATGATACTATCCTTTATTGCTCAGCCCCTTCTAAGCAACAGTGGCTTCTTTACAGTCTGTTTTAGATATTAGCCAAAAAAGATTCTGTGCTTTGAAGCTGGTTTTAAATGTTGAAAAAACAAATTGTATGTTATTTTCAAATTCTTAAGCTTCTTCGGACTTCTCAGGGGAGCCAAATTACTTCAGGGTCAGAGTACAAATACTTGGGTATTATTATCGATAACACGCTACATTTTGGTTCACATATTAAGTATTTGAACACTCTAAAAAATGCTGGGTTAAATACAACCCAGTGCTGGGTCAAATAGGGACAAACCCAGACCCAGCGGTTGGGTTACTACCCAGAAGGTTGGGTTAAACATTTAACCAAACCGCTGGGTCAAAACAGCCCAATTGCTGGGTTTTTCCCTATTTAACCCAGCACTGGGTTGTATTTAACCCAGCATTTTTTAGAGTGCAGAGAGGAAAAAAAAAAAATGTTTTTTTTTGTATTCTATCCACCTTGTATATTGTAGGATATTTTATTTTAATATACTATTTTTTACTGATAACATCCTATAGGCCTACTTATCAATGTAAACATTGTTTTAATTACATGAAATGTCAGAAAGCTAGAAGCAATAAAATAAAGGTTTGAAAATATCTATCATAACTAAAATATATTGCATTATTCTATTCTATTCTACATTATTTGGCTTGTATATTTTATGATATTTTAAAATACATAAAAAACATCATATTTTTAAACATAACGTTACATATACTTATCAATGTTAACATTGTTTAGTTATATGAAATGACAGAAAGCTAAAAGCAGAATATATCATTCAAATAAATATTCTATTATATATTATATTATATCTTAATATTTTTTTCATGTAGAATTATAAATCTGTCAATATAAGTTGGTGACTCATTTACTTTAATCAATCTACTTTATCCACTTTAATAGATAAAGTAGAATTTATCTACTTTAATCAATGATATCATTTACAGACGTTGACATCTTCGTTGTGTGTAGTAGGACATTTTTTTTTCATGCTGTGTCAACTCAGTCTTGAATCTAGTTTTGTCACATTATTTCAGGTAGCAGTGTATAGATATAGGGTGAAATGTGCTTGTTTTCAAAACAATGTTACATTTTGAAACATTGTCTTATGTGAATTCTGTAAGACATAAATTCAATACACTAGAATACAACATTTTAAATGAAGTCAAGCATACAGGACATCACTTTATGTCATTATTCACAGTGGTATTTGCTCTAAAGTTCAGAATCCATTGAAGCTCAAAGGCTGGAGGTGTTTGCTTTATTCCCTGTGCCACACCTATAAGAGACAGCTAGACTTTGACCAGAGCAATATGAAAGACATAGTAGAATATCTAGTATACCAAAGGGTTTGGTCTTATAGGAAATAATAGGCAACTCCACTGGAATGACAAATCTGGTGGCATGTTTCCGCTATATTGTTTAATTTACAATTGCCTCTATATTCACTCATGCAAGTAGAGAAAAAAAAACATTCCAAGTGAGGAATGTCACAATGCACTTCGACTGTTAAACGTTAAATAAGTACAGCATGCATAAGTGGCCTGAACACCCCACCCAGTGCCAACACAGGGAAGACAGAGATATATCCATTATGCAAATAAGGGTTGGAGTCCACTGTCTTCAGATGACAGCCTCCATAGTTAACGCTTCACTTCCTGAATGTGCTCCTTATCTCATCATATGCATGATCTGATTCAATGGCAATTTAAACATTTGCATCAAATTAGCCTAAACACAGAAACACAGCACACCTGTTTAAATTCTTCAGGCACTTTACTGTTATATAGCATGCAAAAAGACGTTATCACACTATCCTGGCTGTGTTATTAAACACTTTTTTGCAAGTACAATTACATACCTACAGCTTTTTGTGCTTTTTGTTTTATATGTTTAATTTCAGCACTGCAAGTCAGAATTATGAGCTTTCGTAAACAATAATTCACAGAAAACCATGCCAAACTGAGCATGGGAACCTTTTGGAAACATATATAATGAGTATTGTACATCAACGAATATTTCTCTTTGTTTATTCTCATAATACATTGGCACGCCCTTCCATTGACTCTTCCTAATAACTGAATATTGACATAATAAAAGATAAACTAGGCTAGTCATTATTTACTTATTGGCCACATGAAAGTTGCGTAATGATTTGCACCAATGCTGAGCAGTTGCAATGAATTACAATTGTCATATCAACAACATCTGAAATAACAGTATATCTGGTATTTAATGGTATATTTAGAATGTAACTCTAAACCTAATCCTTTTTTGTTGCCAAACAATACGTTGAGTGTTAACTTTACTAGACAAGGTTTCACTGGGTGGGGCCTTTTGCTGCATCAAACATCTTCTTTCTTCCTTCCATACCAGACATGGCCTCCACGTTCTTCCTCCAGTCGCTGTCCTCAACTGGCCTCTTCTGCAGAAAGAGACAGAAGTGATACTACCAACTAGCTGTTGATTATATGATCAGCAAATTATAGAAATTCCATTGAATATCACTACACTGAATTTTGGGTTTAGCCTTTTGGGTGATTCCACTTGAGTGAAAGATTTGAAAGGAAAATAGGTTATTTTTAAGGAATTGAGGTTTACTATTTCCCCACCATTGACAGAATTTTCCATAATTTACGAGATGGTAGGGGGCGCTATTACACATCTTCTGAAAGAGTACTGAATGTCTGGATCAAAACGCAGTGAAGAAGAAGCAGAAACAAGCAATCGCATTTGTAAGCAGATCTATATGTAAAATAACGCGATCATCAAACATTAAACAGCATATAAATCAAAACTGCCTAACGTTACCGAATTAAATGTTGACACAGGAAGTGGTACAGGACTGTGTAAGCTTTGGAGGTGTTGATGGAAGCGATCTACTCCATCTATATTTTGATCATCTTTCTGAATCCCATCCAGACGTAGGGCCCTATTTTAACGATCTAAGCGCATGGTCTAAAGCGCACGGCGCAGGTGCACTCAGGATGTGTCCAAATCCACTTTTGCTAGTTTAGCGACAGGAAAACGGTCGGCGCGCCCGGGCGCATGGTCTAAACGGGTTGTCCCTATTCTCTTAATGAGTAATGGGTGTTTTTTGGGCGTAACATGCAATAAACCAATCAGAGTCTCATCTCGCATCCCCTTTAAAAGTCGGTTGCACTCGCACCATGGCGGGTTCGCTATTTACATGGCGGAATGTAATTTTTAATTTTTAAAAATGTTTGTGTGCTCCTGCGCATCCCTGTGTGTGTAATACCGCCTATAGGCTCATATTACTAACGCGCTCTTTAAATAACAACGAAAAAATATTGCGCCAGACTTTAGACCAGGTTTGAGCTGGTCTATGGCGCAGTCTGTTTCAGTTCCTCAAAATAGCAACGCACCAACAATGTGCCTGAACACACCTCTTTTTTAGATTAGCACGCCTATGGGCGCATAAATGGACGCAAATGCATTTGCTATTTAAACAACGCGGCACAGGACGGGAAAATGAGAAATGTGTCGGGCTGAAACTAGCAAAAACACTTGCGCCGCACCTTGCACCGCATTGCGCCGGGTGTATGATAGGGCCCGTAGTCTTTGACAAAAATGCAATTTTCTCAGCTTTTTGTTCAAAATTTGTTCAAAGTATTGATAAAAAAAGAATGCATGAAGCTAGAGTAAAACATAAAAACGCAGAATAAAAATGTTCAGATAGTCAACACTGCAAAATATTCAGAGGGGCCATGAAAGTTTTGTGAAAATTATCAAAAATGCTGGCGAGGAGAACTTTCTGTCATTTATGAGAGAGAAGGGGGCGCTATTACACACATACACAAAGAGTACTGAATGTCTGGATCAAAGCACAGTGAAGAAGAAGCAGAAACAAGTGAGTGCATGTGTAAGCAGATGCTTATGTAAAATCATGCGATCGTCAATTATTAAACATTAGCAAGATGACTAGCCCCTGCTGGTAGATGTTGTAAATACACTGTATAGTTCTAAAAAGCATCTTTCTGCATTGAAGGTCATTCAAATCAAGCCATGTATTCTGATGAAATGTATTAAAAAGGTTTTAATAATCATAATAATATTAAAAATTAACCATTTACTTTTCGCTTGCAAGTTCCTGAATTTCTGAGGATCTCGCTGTTCTTGGCACCTTTTCAGACATGAACGATTCAGTGGATTGTTAGTCGCAATGAAGCAGAAGTAGCGACAGATCTTTTCTTATGTATTGTGATGGCACTTCAAGTGTAATGAATTGTGGAAAAAGAAAAAATGTAGGGCAGGACTTGATTCTATGGATCATTGTTGATTGGATGTTGAGATATGGGCGTGGCACTCAAATGAACACAGGTGAACACAAGTTTTGATTTTGATTTAATGCCAAATTTAACTGGAGACTCGTCTAACTGGATCATTGAATCAGTAAGTTGTTTGTTGACTCATGAACAACCCGAAATTTGTGGATGAATCACTCAGTGTGATTTGCAAACCGATTCAACATGTTCATTGAAAAGAATCAGCTCATTCACAAATCGGACATCTCTATGATGTGTTGGAGCGGGAGCTGAACTCTAAAGTTTGAAATAATTAAGGAAGGATATGTTCTTTTATGAAATGTAGTGGATTAAAAGGTTCAATATTATGCTTCGGAATGTAGACAAGTAAAGGACAAATTCTTGAAAAAATGTCAAAATACTGGCCACTACTGGGTAAGTGACGGCATGTGACTGATGCAGTTCAAAGAGATTTAATCGAAAGTAATGTAGAACATCCATTTAATCTTCTGGTTTCACTACACTATTCAGGGTTTTTTTCTCTATTGTGTTGCGTTTCATCTCTGATCAAATAAATACAATTAGAAAAGGCTTTTTCCATTGAATTCAGCTACACATCCACACAAAAGCTTTTCTAGTGTACTATACTTCTGTTGTCCACTCTCGTGTCTGTCATACAACACCCAACCTGTATTATATTCAAGACAAACACTGAAAAGAATGAACATTGTCACCGTTTGGTCTCTAAAATTGCCTTTTATTACTCCTCCGCCTTTCAAACAGCTGCTGCTGGTGATGCCATCCTTCTCTCTGAGCTCTGTTAAGCTCTGAATAGTCAGAGTACATTGTTTCTTTTCGTTGCCTATTGCTTGATCCACAAGTTTTCCAAGTGCCAGTCCAGATAGAAGGTTAGTAATGTTAGTAATGTTTTCACTGGCATAGCCTTGAGGGATTAACAGATTTCTCCCATTATCTTACATGGAACATTCCATAATGTTTCTACTTGTGTAGTTTTGTTTTATAAGGTTTCATTTGTATCGATATACCTATCTGACATGGCTTGAATAGCTTGGTCATATAACTTTACGTGTTCACATGACGTCATACCTTCTCAGTATCCTCTTTCTTCACAGATTTGAGGTTGGCTCGTAGGTCCATTGAGACTTTGTGCTTTGAGCCTAGGAGAGATCGTAGAATGGCGTCTGCTGAAACCCTCACCCTCCTCAGGGAGGGCCGCTTGAACTTCCCCCTCAGGTCCAGAACCTTAATGTTCAGGTCTTTGACCTAGAGGATGAACAGTTGTTTGTTTAATTACTTATTAAACATATATAAGCATAAAGACACATTAAGGCTTTGTTCCAAAAGCTAGTGAGCTCACTACATAGATAGAATTCTCCTTCTACCTCGGTATAATATACTTGTGAAAAGTTCATCCAAAAGGTAGGCAGCATCATACCTTCCAGGTTCAAAGGTAGCATTGCATTCCTGCTTCTGAATAGGCCAACTTACCTACTATAACATATAGGTGAAAAACAATACAGGAAATAAAGAGTATTTCAGAGATCATACTCATTAAATAGTAGACAGATACCTGAAGCGGCTCAACTGACGCCGTAAGTAGCGACAGTAGCTGTTTCCATCTGCCTATTTTTATGTGCATTTTGGGATATCGCATTAAAAAATGCTGAATGGAAACGGTAAGATACGCATAGATTCTAAAAAAATGCACAAAAAAACATATGTGCTCAACTGAGTCAGGTACATGTTTTATCCAATAATAAAACATGCATAAATTACGATGGAAACACATTTACCGAATAAATTATCATATATGAAAAAGACCCCTCAGTGTCTTCTCCCCCTGTTGAAAAAACCAGCATATGGTTAGGTATGTTTTGACGCTGGGATGCTGGTTTAAGCTGGTCCTTTGCTGGTTTATGCCGGTCCTTTGCTGGTCCTTTTGCTGGTTTATGCTGGTCACGTGCTGGCAAAGGACCAGCTTAAACCAGCAAAGGACCAGTTTAAACCAGCAAAGGACCAGCATAAACCAGGAAAGGACCAGTTTAAACCAGTAAAGGACCAGCATAAACCAGCAGAAGGACCAGCATAAACCAGCAAAGGACCAGCTTAAACCAGCATCCCAGCGTCAAAACATACCTAACCAGCATATGCTGTTTTTTTCAACAGGGCCTACTGCAATAAATTAAATTTTTCTTACTGATATGTGGCGCCAGTTTATCAGGAAGTGACGATTTGTTCTCTTCATCTCACTGGATGGAAACGGTGATTTATGTGCAAATGTTTCATGCAATATTCCAATTTTGCGCATAAGTTAATTTTGCAACTTGGATAGAAAAATAGCTAGTGACAACATGATGAATCCGGATTAAATTCATACTACACACATTCATACTAGCACTGTAGTACTCAGTATGCAATTTCGGACACAGCTCATGAATTAGTTTTGGAGAAGGCAATCCTATTATGCACTTCAATGAACAAATCCATTCAAAACAGCAAACTAAGCAAGAGAAATGTCAATTATGAGCAAAATTCTTTCAAAAGTGAACAGTACATCTAAATATATTTCATAATAATTAAAATGTACTATTTTAGTCAATGTTTTTGTGTACTTTGATGTACTTTTTAAGCTGATAAGAGTGCCATGTTGTTAGCTTAGCAACATGCTAATGCCAAACAGTATTGGAATCAGTTGGGAGTTGATTCCCAATAGCACTGTTTGTATGACACGCAGTTGAAGTCTGTTTGCATTATTCCTAATTAGGTTCCATTTCAGTTTATATGTTGCCTATGTAGGGAGTAGAGAGCAGGATAGCTCACATAGTTTTGGAACAAAAGGTGGAAAAATTCTTCCACCTTTCCATGAAATCGCAGTTACTCAGAACTGCACACTAATATTAGAATCCTACAAATAGAGCAGATGAAGACAGCAAGTTGTGACATTGTCCAGCTGGTTATTAAACTATGGCTTAGGTGGATTATCATACCTCACGCTTATTCAGTGAGACTTTGGCTTCAATATCATAGCGCTCCTCATCCACCACATCAATCTTAGCATGAAGCTCTTGACAGAGTTCCTAAAAGAGACAGAAATGTTAATCAGGAATCCTTTTTGATGTGAATGCGTATTATATTACACAGGGTGCCGACTCTGACAACATTAAAGCTTAACCAATAGGTCTTTTGTTATAAGAAACCAAATATCATATGGCAATTTTCCTAGTTATCATTTTACTCAAACATACATCTCATAATAATGCCCATGGTTGACTTTTTACATTGCAATTAATCAAATTAAGACATTTGCATCAGCCTTATGAAAGCTAATATGCAAATAAATAGGCAGAGTGGCGCAAGCAGCAGTGATTGTACCATTAGATTTCAAGTCGTGAGGATGTTCGTGTGGCACCAAATGAGCAAAACTGGAGGTGGAGTCTGGTGGTGGACTTCATTTGAAGAACACTTACCTGAAGCTCAGCGAATGACATGCCCTGCGTCTGCAGAGGAGGAACTTTCTCCATCAGAGACCTCTGCTTCTCCTCCTCTTTATCCAACACCTCCTGATCCAGCTCCTCCTTGGCTTTGGCCACCATCAGACTCTGAAAACACACAACTGTATGTCAATGGGACTGTTCCAATATCCACACTTTTGGTCTTTGCTTTTGACCAAATGTTCAAGTGGGCATGGAGAACTTTTAAATACCTGATGGACACACTTAGAGTTGTAAAAATGCAAGTTTTTACAGAGCTTTATTTACACATATTGGTTTGCACTTCAAAATTAACTTATTATTGTCTGTTTAGTATCCATATGTAACATAAGACACAGTGTATTAATTGTGGTGCTTCTAATTAACTTATAATGAGCAATTGCAAGATTTTACTACCAAATTATATGTAATAGCCTAATTAATTTGATGAATGATGGGACACGCTTAGCCTCTGAAGTGGATTCAGTGTTCTTTAAGGAACTATTCTTTGTCATTTTTCAGTCCTGGGACAGTCTTGCACACTTATTTTCAAGACTCCAAGTGTAGATATTGGGACAGGCCCAACATTGGTTTAGACACATTTCTGCCATCTAGTGGTGTGTTACTGTTCTTATGAATTAGTGTTTTGAACAAACCTCTTACCTCTAAGTATTACAATTTATATAATAGCTCTTAAATCTCAAATAGTGCTGCTTGTTAAGAGGGGCGAATTATATATATATGAAAGTAAATGTTGAATTTATATGAGCTGCAAACCAACCTTTAGCATAAGCTTTCTTGAGGCTGAGATCTTGGATTTTCTCTGGGCCAGAGATGTGAAAGTTATAACACAGTACAGGTAGTACAGATAAGCAAATAATCAAAGTTTTAGTTATTAGAGGAAATAATGCATAACTTACCTCTTGCCTGAAAATACAGCATAAAATGTACGTTAGTATATACTGACAACTTATTACGATATATTATTGTTGGTCTTAGAGAGCCACACTTACCCTTGTTCAGGCATCTTGGCAACTAAAAAGAGAGCAAAATCCTTTTATTCAATGTTTTCTAGATGAATTTGACACATGAAATCAAATTTAACTCAGTACTCCCACTGAATGAATTTATGAATACATCACGGCCACATCCTGTCCTCCTCTGACCCACTCACATTTTCTACATATCTCTAGTCAGTGACCGAAACGCCCCTCAAACAAAGTCATGAGTGATCCTACTACTTTCTCAGCTGCCTTAACACAAAGAGCAAGAATTTGTACCCGTCCGGTTCCACAAATAGAAAGTTATCTAAAGAGGTAAAGCATTTGATGAAGGGTGAATTTTGGAAAAAAATTAATAAATGGTTGAGGTTGCAAGAAAATTGTCAATTACTCACAAATATCAACACAGGAGTTAAAAAAAAAATGACAATAATGTAATATTTAATATAGTATGGTATAATATAATAATATATAGTCCATCAGTTCTCCAAACCGATTGTCTTATGTAGGGTAAATTATTATATGATATGATATTATATTATATTGTATTGTATTATATTATATTGTATTATATTATATCGTATCGTATCGTATCGTATCGTATCATATGTCATATTATATTATATTCTTAAACATTTCATCTGCAGAAATTATTCACAATAAACAGCAGTCCTCCTCTTGATGAGTTACATCAACTTAATTGATAAAACTATTAATTATGTTAAATTATATTTCTCTAATGCATCATAATGACCCATATAATTGCCTGACCATTATGAAAGACCTTATTAATTATGAAAATGATGAGAATTTCAGGATGAAGGACACTGATAAAATATCTAAGTCTAGAATATAGAATAATGTAGAATAAATGTAGAATGAAATATCTAAATATAGAAATGTATACAAAAACAAAACAAAAACAAGAGTACATCAAAATTAACGGAAAACTTTTTACATGTAGTTTATCATGAAATATACTATGTTTAAATGTCTATTGTGATCAGCAGATTTCCCATCAGTAGAAGCATCTTACCTTACAGTGTGTTTGTATTGTGTTGTCCTCAATCTGATAATTGATAACAGAATAGAGATGTGCTCCCTTATTTAACCCAAAGCGTCTCTGTATCTCTAATCTGTCAGTGGAGGATATTATTAGAGCACAGATCTTTCACTCTCTCTCTCTCCTTGTCTGTCCATGTCTAGGTTCATCTCATGGCTCCATGGCTCTTTACTATCTGTCTGTCTGCTGTGCCAGTGGACCATCACTGGTCTGGCTTATCTGCTCAGAGCCGATTCGTCTGCTGTGCTGTGAAATGTCAATATACAGTGGCTCCAAAAAGAATTTGGACACTTAAGCCATTCTTAATGATGGAATGTCATTGTATTAGATATAAAACATCAAAACAAATGTTGCTAAAGCTTTTCTTGGGACTAACACCACTTTTCTAAAGCATTTTACTGGCAGGGATTTTTCCACACAGGTGTCCTATTGGAATAACCACAGGTGTAGATCATTACGTTAACTATCAACATGATTCAGTAACATCTGGCAACCAGAAAAATGTCAGAATTAAAGGAATAGTTCACACAAAATATGAAAAATTGCTGAATATTTACTCACCCTCTGGTCATTCAAGATGATAGTTTGTTTCTTCGTAGGAACAGATTTGGAGAAATGTAGCATTGCATCACTTGCTCACCAATGGATGCTCTGCAGTGAATGGGTGCCGACAGAATGAGAGTCCAAACAGCTGATAAAAACAATACAATAATCCACAAGAAATCCACAGAACTCCAATCCATCTTGTGAAGTGAAAAGCTGTGTGTTTGTAAGAAACAATCCATCATTAAGACATTTTAACTTTAAACTGTCACTTCTGGCCAAAATATGACTCCATAATCCATAATCTGCTTTCTCCAGTGAAAAAGTCCATCTCCTGTTTTTCTCTCACATCAAAATCCACCCACATATTTGTTTAGAACAGTTTTGGACTGTTTTCACTTGTAAGCGGTGCTTGATCTGTGCATATTTCATTGGATTCAGACTAGACACATTTTCTTACTGGAGAAAGCAGATTGAGGACTCATGTTTTTAAATGGAAGAGACAGTTTGAAGTTAAAATGGTCTATAATGATGGATTTGTTTCTTACAAACACACAGCTTTTCACTTCACAAGATGTTAATTTATTGGAGTGGTGTGGATTATTTGTGGATTATTGTAATGTTTTTATCAGCTGTTTGGACTCTCATTCTGACGGCACCCATTCACTGCAGAGGATCCATTGGTGAGCAAGTGATGCAATGCTACATTTCTCCAAATCTGTTCCTACGAAGAAACAAACTAGAATCTTGAATGGCATTTTTTTTTTCATATTTTGTGTGTACTATTCCTTTAATTCTGACATTTTTCTGGTTGCCAGATGTTAGTGGATCCACTGGTGAGCAAGTGATGCAATACATTTCTAATAAATGCTTATGTGTGTGTGTGTGTGCATGTGTGTGTGTGTGTGTGTGTGTGTTTTAAATCCAGCACCTGTCGAGCAGCAGGGCACATTCCTCTCCTCACAGATCCCCCTGCAGCGCTGAAGCATCTCACCCAAACCCTGATCCACTCATGCTGACCTAAAAACACTGACACAGCATGAAGGTCTCGCTTCATTTGTGCAATTGCTATGAATATGTATTTTTGGAATAGTACAGTAAATATACAGTATGCCTGAAGAAGAGGAGACAGCACGGGTGAATAGGGTAAACATTTTACTTAGATATCATCATATTTCCCCAGCTGATTGATTACATTAAGAATCGCAAACTTTTTTTACATTACAAGTTTTCAATGTTATGTGTACATATGCAAATGTGGCATTATCTAATTGAATATGCATTAATTTGCATAATTTTCCAGAACAGAAATCTGAACATTGTATAAAGCGAGGTTCAAAATTCTTGTTTCATTTTGTTGACATATACTCTAGAAGTAACTTTTTTTTTTTTGAAAGTTGATTTTATAAATCTGTTTTATCACTTTATAAATTTGAAAATACTGTCACCATGTTTTTAGGAAGAAAATGTTGAATAAAACCAGGAGACTGATATATGGACAAACTCCTCTGTAAAACCTTCAAAATATAGATATGAATACAGTATTATAAGTGTATAAGTGCTGCTGAAACAGATATTTCTGACTCATTTTGAGAAAACGGACTGTAAAGATATGCACTGTATTTGAAGTGTACAGTCGCAAATAGATGTAATAAACACTTAAAAGTGTATTTTGGATGTTTTCTTTCCATTAGTTTGAAACCACGTTATGAAAAGCCATATAACCCAAAATCTCAGAACTAACCGGTGCATGGAGAATCAATGTTTTTGCCTGTCATGCCTCATCACATTTCAGTGTTGGTTTTATGAAGCCACTTGTTACAGTGGCCTGTAACACTAGACCTGACCTTAGATCAACAAACCAGCATGTTTCCATCACATAGGGTCAATGTTATAAAAATATATTTAGACTAAAGTCAGACTGACGTCACATCATACAACAGCAGCCACACTCTGCCAGAGAATCAGTCATTCATTCAGTCCTCCTGTGTGCCAGAGAACCTGCAGCAGGGCTTTATCTATCTGGATCATGTCAACAGATGCTTCATATATATATATATTACATTACATTAGGTAGACATTTGAGCAGCTGAAATTCTTCATTGATTTTTGAGTCAGTCTGCCCTCTGCTGGAGATCTATATGCACTGTCATCCAATCAATTGTGACTTTTTGAAATGTATTATGTAACTCAGGGATTCCCAAAATCTTTGTAAGTGAAAATATTTATTTGAAGTACCCCTGAGATTTTAAGCAAATATTTTAATAATTTAACAACACATTTTCATGTTCAGAGTTCTCTAATGTTGGGTAATGGTCACACGACATTCAGCTAAACAAATAAAATATTCAATTTTTCGTGGGTGTGTGTTTTCATTTTGGTCGTTTTATTTTACATTTATTTAAATGTTTATTTAAATATATTTAAATATTTTATTAATGAGGACTAACCCATCCACAATCTTTTTGGAAACCCTGACAAAATATAATATAACTTATTAAATATGTACCTATTAAAAATATATAATTTCATAAATATTTAACACCTTGTAAATGAATATATACATTATTAATAAATTAACGAATAATTAAAATATACAAACATTGGCTGCTGTACAAAAATGAAGGCTACCAATACACTAATTAAGTCTAACTTTTTAACTTAAATGATTTTAGCAAATGGCTGCAATATAACAGAGTGAAAAATTGAAGGGGGTCTGAATACTTTCCGTACCCACTGTATATTACCATACATTTTAATAAGTTCACAGGACTCGCACTTTATTTACAGAGATCATTCAGGAAAGTATCTGTTTTCTGTTTATTAAACACAAGAGCAGCAGGTTAAAGAGGCGCGCTGAATTCATCAGGCTCACACTCGTCTGCTATTTTAACACAGTTTACACACACATGGTCTCTCTGCTCCTCACATGCCTCTGTCAATGACGCACACAACCTTCTGGAATGTGTCTAGAGAGAGACGGGACAACCACAGTCCAGAGAAAAAACAAACAGCATATCAACCTGAAGTTTTCTGCTTCTTTTGTTTTCATTTCACTTGAAGAGACAGTCCATCCAAAAGTACAAATTCCAAATCCGAATGACTTCTTTCTTCTATGAAACACAAAAGAAGATACTTTGAAGAATGTTGGTAAAAACTGAACAATCTGAGAAAATAAGGTACACCTTTGTACCTTATTCACCCTAAAGGGTGCATATTAGTAGCTAAAATCTACATAATTGTACCTTTCCTCCAGTGTTTATTATCAGAGCTCAGCTGTTGAACACACTTCACATGGCTGTATCACTGCAGCTAATTTCTCTCATGACTCGTGAGTGTGTTTGGGCGTGAATCTGTATCCATGCCACCGTGTGCGGCCTCTAACCCCATTGAAACCGACACACCTTTGGGAAAAGATGCCACAACATGTCCAGGTGCAGACTGAAGCATTATGCAACTGGGAGAGACATTCAACAGGAGTCAAATGAGGCAATCTTATTCACTTTGAACATTATGACATGATGTATTTAGAGTAAATAAATAACTACACATTTATAGCTCTTATCTACTTCTGAAGGACTTGCGACGGAGCAAATTAAAGCTTAGCAACCTCTCCAGAACAATTAGTAGCCTGTATTTTGGTCTAATTAATACAGTTACACTATATACACACACTCAAAGAGGACTTTATTCTGAAACTGCTGTGCACAAGCCATTGCGTACATGTGGGCTGTAAGGAAGCTGCCAGAGTGCTGAGTCATCTCAAGACTGTGGCTTTTTTTAACAGAGCCTCCTCAGAAGCTCCTGCTCTGGGGTTTTCCACACACACAATCTGCCTATTATTGCAAGGCCGCAGGCACAGCCCAGGGCACTGAACGGCCTGAAGAGATGAGACCAGAGCTATACTAGAGAGAGTCGAATATGGCAGTCACTGGGTGCCTACGGGGTCTTCAATGCTGCCTACACACTCAGCAGGGGATGTCAGTGGAAGGTCGCTCGAGTGCATTGGTTCATTTGGAACGGATTGAAGAGTCATAATCGCAGAGTCATACAAATAGAGTTACAGACACTGATGCCTATGCGTGTGTTTGTTGATGTTTTTAGTTCTAGTATTTCAACCAACAGCCAGCCTAAGTTTTTGACGGACATGTTAAGATGCGTGAGGGGTGAGGTGATTTTTTGGGGTATTATAAAACATAATGGAGGCGTTCAAAATGCCCTTTGCCTCGTTCATTATACTTATTTTACAGAATGAAGTTTATTTAGTGGCTTCAATAAATTATATGTTACTCAGAGACTGACATGATTGGCTTGTCAAAAATGTTACATTCACCTGTCACAAATTCATTGACTTCTGAAAATCAACAAGGGGAAAAAGGAAAACAAAAGACTGTTCAAAAACGAAAACAAAACACGGGAAAAGTTGCGCCGCTTACTGTTTTGGTCAACCGTTCTGTCACGTTGCACACACTAGGAACACAGGAACGAAGGACTGAGGATACATTGATTCTGAAAATCAAATTTTTTTTTTTTTTTTTTCTTCCAGGAAAGGATAATACACAAACTTGTTTTAATTGTCCCTTATAACAAAGATCTTTTAAACCCATGAAAATGCAGATCCTGTTGTAAATAATAGTGAAATAA